AACACAATACCATTTTATAAGGTCTAAACAAGAAATAAAAGAATTATATAGTTTAAAAAAGGTTTATAGAGTAGTATATGAGAAATACTTTATTTATTTTATTAGGTTAGTTAATTTTTAGATATTTTCAAATACTAAATATTATTTTTGATTACTTTTAAAATTTTTTTATAGTGAAATCGATATTATAATATAAAATATAACATTATAATTATCAATTGAAAACTTTAATATATTAGTAGTATTAATATATTATAATAGAGGATGAATAATTATTTAACTTATTATTAATATTTAAACATATTAGTTTAATTACATAATATCAATTAGTATTACTTAACATTTATTAATTATTTATATTTAATATTATTTAGTAATAGTTATTATATTAATATTATTAGTATTATATCATTTATAGTTACTAGCAAATAGTATTTTGTAGTACAGTAGTCAAAATAGTATAAATATATTCTTTATCCAAATAGTTTCAATAGTTTTACATTATTTAATATTTTTATAACTTTAATTAATTGTAATTTTCAGAGGATGAAATGTAATTATTTACATAAGTGTATGTATATAAATTTCCATTAAATTTACATAGTGAAAGTGAAATAATAAATATTATTATTCAAGTTGATAAATAATAACTTATTGAATATAATAAAATAAAAATGAGGATATTAAATGGGGGTTGTATAATAAATTAAATAATTAATTATATTTGTTCTGTCCTAATAATTATTGAGGAAGTTTGATGACAAAGTATTTATTTAATACTAAAGATGATAAATGGAAGTTATGGAGATATATTATTTAAAAATATTAGAATGAAATTATAAAAATAAAGAAATAAGGATATTATAATGAAATTCTGAATAGATAATGTTAAGGAAGTTTGAAAATTAAAAGATATAATATTGAAATAGATATATTATGATTAAAGTTGATGAATATTAATTTGTTAGTTTTATCTAAAAACTAACTGATGTCTTCTAAAATTCAAGAAATAACCAAACTAAAAGTCTTGTATCTATAGGGAAGGACTATAAACTTCTTAAAAAAACTGTAAAGTGTATATTAATAATAATACCTGTGACACTGGATAAAATGAATAGTACAGTATCATTTATATATCTAGATAAGAAAGAAATATAATTATATAGTTTAAAAAGGATCTACAGAGTAGTAGATAAGTAATATTTCATTCATTTATTAGTTTAGTTAATTTTTAGATATTTTCAAGTATTAAATATTACTTTTGATTATTTTTAAAACTTTTTTTGTAATGAAATCGAATAAAATAAATGACGCAGTATCATTTATATATTTAGACAAGAAAGAAATGTAATTACATAGTTTAAAAATAGACTATAGAGTAGTAGGTAAGTAATATTTTATTCATTTTATTAGTTTAGTTAATTTTCAGATGTTTCAGGAATTAAATATTACTTTTTAATTATTTTTAGAACTATTTTTTAAGTGAAAACAGGTAAAATGGGTGACACAGTACTATTTATAGATCTAGACAAGAAAGAAAGATAATTATATAGTTTAAAAAAGATCTACAGTATACTTGTACGTATACCTGTCACACAAATTCAAAATTCAAATGCCGAAATCCCAAATGCCGAAATTCCAAATCCCAAATTCCAAATTATGATTAGTATTTTTTGCTGAAATCTCAAATCCCAAATCCCAAATCCCAAATACTAGTAATTTAAAATTTTGGCATCCCAAATTTCAAATGATTTAGGATTTGAGCAACACGTATACTTGTACGCAAGTATAGTCTACAGTATAATACAATAATAATATTTTGTTTGTTTTATTAATTTGATTATTTTTGGATGTTTTCAAATACTACAGTAAATATTATTTTTTTGATTACTTTTAGAATATTTTTTTGTAGTATTTCAGGTAATACATTACTGTTCTATGGATTTAGGTGAGAAAAAAAGGTTTACAGAATTGTAATTGGATAATACTTCATTTATTTATTAGTTTATATGATTTTTGAATATTTTTAATAGGTTATTATTACTTTAAGAGAGTTATAATTAATAAATTGACTGTTTTAAATAATAAATTTAGTTATTTTATTAATGAAAAATTTTTATTTTTATTAAATATGACTAAAGATTATTATAGTTATTTAAAATGAAATAATATTATTAATCTTATTTTGAAAAAAAAAATAATAATTTTAATAAAATAAAAAATGATAATTTATTATAAGTTATAATTTAGATTGTATATTTTTTGTCAAATTTTAAAATATCTCATAAAAATTTTGTATAGAGTTATTATAAAAAACAGTTATATATTTTTGATTAAAACCTTATAGATCTTTTATAACATTTATTATAATATTTTGGATTTTATAATACCTAATAAAATATATTTAAAATTGAAAATAATTATTAATAGTTGCTACATATAAAACTTTTTATTTTAATAAGTACATATCAAAACGGTACTAAATAATCTCAAATATGAGAATAAATTACATATTATATTTAAAGAACAAACCTATATCATTAATATTGAGAAAACAATTAATAGTTAAATTTCGAATGGAAAAAAATTCTTAAAATGATAATTATTTGCTCAATTTTAAAGATACAAGTTTGTCCTTAAAATATGATATATAATTTATTCTTTTTTTAAGATTATTTAGTACCATTTTTAATATTTACTTATTAAAATAAATTGTTATATATATATTAATAATTAATAATTTTGTTATTAATTAACCAATCAAATTATTAAAGTAACTTGAAGCAACCTAGAGTAACCTGAAGTAATCCAGATATATATGTTTTTAAAATTAATTTTGGATTTTTGAGATATTTCAACTTTTTAAAATTTATACAAAATCTATTATATATATGGAAGTAAAAAAAATATCTAATTATATGTATATTCAATTAAAGAAAAAATTTGAGTGATCAAAAAATTTTAGATTTTAAATAAAATAGTTTTGTCTTTTATGAAAAACTATTTTAACTTTTTTCTTCAAAATTATAATTTCGGGACTTTAAAATAATTTTGTATACAAGTATAAATCCAGAACAAAATTATATAATAATCCAAGTTAGAATAAAATATTTTGTTCTAGGTTAATATAAAAAACTAGACATCCTAACCTGTTCCATAATGGAGTGATATATAATTTAAATTGATGCCAGAACTATACTTGCATATAAAATTATTATAGGATCCCAAAATTACAATTTTAGAAAAAAAAGTTAAAATAGTTTTTCATAGAAAATAAAATTATTTTACTTAAAATTCAAAATTTTTTGACTATCTAGATTTATTTTTTGATTGAATATATACATAACTGGATACTTTTTGTACTTCTATATATAAAATAAATTCTATATAAATCTCAAAAAATCGAAATACCTCAAAAATCTAAAATTAATTTTGAAAATATATATAGTTAGAATATTATACTCCAGTTAACAACCCTACTGAAATATACTAATAAATGTTATACTGGATCTACAAAATTTTAAACAAAAATAAGCAAATATTTTTTATAATAACTTTAAGCAAATTCAGTATGAGATATCAAAATTTTAGCAAAAAATAAGCAAAGTCAAATTATGACATAATTATATGTATTAAAATTATTTGAACATAAAAAATATTTTAGTGTAATGGTAATGTAAATAAAAGATCTTTTTTTTATTTGGTATTTTTATTTTTTATTAATTATTCTCTTTCTTCTAAAGAAATAATATTAAATATATAAATAATAAATAAAATAAACCTTATACTTACCTTACCTCTTTGTTTTAATAATATATTTACCTTCCTTTTTTCTCACCTTTTACTGGTTTGTGAGGTTGAAATAGATTTTGTAGAAGTCAAAATGAGTGTCATAAAAATAATAGATTTTATCTTTTTTTTATTTTGATTTTTTTAAAAATAAAAAAAATTATATTTATCTTTCTTCTTTTCTTAGTTTTTTTTTTTCTGTCTTTTCTTCTCACTTTTTACTAGTTCATAAAATCAAAATAGATTTCACAGAGATCAAAATAATTATCATGAAAATGGTAGATTTTATCTTTTTTTTATTTTGATTTTTTTAGAAATAAAAAAAAAATTATACTTGTCTTTCCTCTTTCTTTAGTTCTTTCTTCTGTCCATTCTTCTTCTCACTTTTTACTAGTTCATGGAATCAAAATAAATTTCACAGAGGTCAAAATAAGTATCATGAAAATGGTAGATTTTATCTTTTTTTATTTTTTATTTTAATTTTTTAAAAATAAAAAAAAAATTATACTTGTCTTTCCTCTTTCTTTAGTTCTTTCTTCTGTCCATTCTTCTTCTCACTTTTCACTAGTTTGAAAGATCGAAATGGGTTTCATAAAAGTCAAAATAAATATTATAAAAATAGTAAATTTTATCTTTTTTATTTTTATTTTTTTAAAAATAAAAAAAAATTATATTTATTTTTCCTCTTTCTATATTGTTATTAAGTCAGAATTCTTCAAGTATGCTTTTAATTTATTGTTTTTAAAATACCAATTGAATATAAATTTTAAATTTTTTTCATTTGATTTTTTAACTCTTATACAATGGACTAACTTTTCATTTGATTTTAATTGTTTATATTCAATACACAAATAATTATCTATAAAATTGTCATTACAATTTTTCACACGTATACAAAAACCTATTAATTCATTGATAATAAATTAAAAATTGATAAAAATTTATTTTATAATAAATTAAAAAATATACCTTCTCTATTTATTTTTCATTTTGCTTCAGAAATATTTGTCTATTTAATTTTCTTTTTTGCAAAATATTTAATTTTTTTTGTATAAATATTAGAAAATAAAGATGGAAATAATTTCTTTCCAATTATTTCAATACATCATATACCATCTAATTATGCTGGAGTTCATTCAATATAGTAATGAATTTTTTGTGATCGTAATTCAAAACACAGAATTCTTTTTTTTTGAATTTTTAATATTTGATTAATATTTATTTTCATTATCACTTGATAAATTATTATTTAAATTATTATCTTCAATATTATTAGAATCAACAGTTATAATATCATTATCATCCATATTGTCACAAATATCACTATCATATTCTTCTTTAGAATTAATTTCTTCACTTTCATTAAAAACAGTAATATTAAAAAAATATAATATTATTTGTTGACTAATTTTTTTTTTACAATCATTTCCATTAGTATGTCTGTTAAAATAATATTCATTCTACTATACTTGCACGTAAAATTATTTTGGGGTCCCGAAATTGCAATTTCAGAGAAAAAAGTCGAAATAGTTTTTCATAGAAGATGAAATTATTTTACTTAAAATCCAAAATTTTTTGACCACCCAGATTTATTCTTTGATTAAAGATATATATAACTAGGTACTTTTTTTACTTCCATATATAGAATAGATTTTGCATAAATCTCAAAAAGTCGAAATATTTCAAAAATCCAAAATCAATTTTGGGAACATGTATACATTCCACTTTCTATTTAATTTATTATTTTTTCATAAATACAAATAACTTTTTTTGAATTAATAATAACAGTACAGAATTCATATTTTGATAACCTTTTTTTAAATATTTCCATTCACTTTTATTCATTTTATATACAAAAAAAAAAAACTAATTTCTTATATTTGAATATTTATATATTTTATTATTTATACTATATATTTATTTTACATTAATAAAATTTATCTCCAAAAATCAATATTCATTAAGCATTATTTTTTTATAAAATATATAAAATTGTTCATATTATGTAAACTTTGACTTGTGACATTAATAAAATATTATAACTTTATACAAATAAAACTTTATGACTTTTATATTATTTTACTAAGATAATTAAACAAACTTTGAGTATAACATATAATAGAATATTTTGAGATCCTGACTTTATATTGGTGTTTTTTTATTTTTTATTAATTTTTTTTATTTGAAATTTTTTTTTATTTTGAAATCATTTATTTCAGGTTTATTAAATAATTCTTTTTCTTAGATGCAAGTCATAAAGTTATAGAACTTAATCAAAAAAAAATATGGATTCAGAATATGTTACTTTTGAGTTCTGTATTAAAAAAATTTTAATTGTGAATATAAATGACAAAATTCTTAATAAAATTTACAAATTTCCTTTCCTGTTTAACATATACTTGCTGATGAAGCTTGTACTGTTGAAAAAAAGAATTGAGAAAGGTAAAATTGCTTTTAAGTTAATTTCATTAAGCTACAATTGTTTATTTTATTGCTAATACTTGATTCTCTGCTGTTATATTTTTCATGAATACATGTATAGTTTTATAAAATTATTATTTGTTATGAAATTTCAATTTATGTTTAAAGAAAATGGTTTTAATAAATATATATTAGGAGTTAATTATGGTATATATATTAGGAGTTAATTATGGTAGATATATTAAAAGAAATTGATGTTAAAAGAATAGCTGAAAATTGAAAATTGGCAATAAATAAATTTATAGAAAAAATTTATTATATGTATTGGAGAGTTGAAAAGAAGGGTGATAAAAGGTAAACAGGTACATTTCTTGAAAAATTACAAATCTGTTTGGAACCCATTTTAAAGGTGAAATAAATTAAATTGATATATTACAAAATAAATCAAAATTTTTTCAATGATGACTTTATTAATTTAATTATAAATAAATTAAAATGTTCACAAATATAAATAAATTAAAATGTTTGTAAGTATAATAAATCATAATGTTGTAAGTATAATTTTTAGTTCAGTTTTTTTGAAGACAGTTGTCACGTGATCATGTGATCACGTGATCTGCCCTGTATACTAGACCGTTTTTTCTGCTGCCAATCTATACATCACATAATAGGATACTACTTTAGATGATTCCTATTTCTAGTATAGGATATAATAATACAATATAACAGTTAATTTTTACCAATTTTTAGTTAATCAAAAATACAGGAATCATCATTCAGTATAGTAATTCTTTTGTATTTGACTAGTGAAGAAAGCATGAACTACAGGAGAGAAATCATATCATAAATTTTTATTTTGTAGCTGTAAAAACATTAGACAATCACATTATCTCAAGTTTTATTTTTGTCTTTATATAATTACATACAAAATCACAATTACATATCTTTTTCTTTATCACAAATATTAAAAAAAGAATAACAATTAATTTAACTTAAAAAGTCAGATTAAGATTCAAAACTTACATAAAATTCACAATGGATATTTATTTGAATCTATGAAAAGGAAATAATTTCTCATGAGAACCAAATGGAAGGTATTACTAGATCCGGGTATCCATAAATTCTTGATTTGATTCACAAAGAATTATTCATTTCTGCCTTCATCTTGATGAAAGCTTCCACATATAAATGTAATAATATGCATCATGCTCAAGCCCGCATTGACAACAATCTGTATCTTATAGATAAGTGCCATAAGAAAATAGCAATCTGACTTGTTTGTACATTTGATATTGTTATTATCCTATTATTTAAGATGGTCCAAAGACAACATCACAAAATTAACAATAGGACTGTATGAAAAATGGTCACAGGCTCATGGAAGATTTCAGAAGAGGCTAATTTCAAAGGCAAAAGAGTTTGAAAAAGAGGTTAAGGTAGTCAGGGAGGTGTATACAAGTAAAACATATAGTCACTATAAATGGATACATCAAATTTTGAGGAAAAAATTTTTTTAAATATGGAGGATATGGTTTATGTATAGATAGAGATATAAATGGTGCCCAAGGGATTTTCTCCAGGCTTTGCTAGATGGGGCTATCCTTTTATAGGGTACAAATTGACTAAGTTCAACTGAAACTATCTGCTACTTCAATTTTTTCTATTTCACTGAGAATCATTTTTCATTGAGATTTTATAAACTAGCACGTGACCAAATATGATGCCTGATTTGGTGTCCATTGTTAACTGCTCTAATCAAAATATTCGAGTAATCATAAATATATTTATAATTATTACCAGTAATGAAAAAAGTGTAAATTTCTTGATCTGGATAAACTGCAGGTATAGTAGGGAGGGATTCAATTTATGATACGATAAATAACAATATGGTTGAAATTAATAAAACATATTTCTCCGATACATTCTGTGAAATGCTTTTTTTATTATAAATAAATTATGGAGAAAATTTATGAATCATCGTAAAGAATTTTTCATGTCTTTTTACAGATTCTAAATTCTGATCGTTTCTTTTCATTTCATATCCTTAAGTTTATTATAATAATTGTGTTCACAAGATAACGGATCTTATGACAAGACTTTATGGCGTTCTGTATTTTAATTTTTAAATATTTTTTTAATTCATTCGTCTCTTTTTTCAATTAAAAATAGTCCTTAGAAATAAATTATGAACCCCATACTTTTAATTTCAAAAAAAACAAAATGACTATTCTAAATGTTTATTTTATTTCTCGGAATTAAACTATATTATTATATTAAGTGAAATGATTTTAGAATTTTTTTCCAGAAATCGATCACAATACAATAATTAATGATCCCATTATTGTCACGCAGTCATGCAAAGTAATACGAATCAGCTGCTCATAACCAAAATTAGCACATTGCTTTTCAAATTATTATTGTTTAAAAACATAATTGCTTATTTTTAGATATTATTAAATCTCAAAGAAAGATATTTGGGTACATTAAATTGTGAAATTCAATAACATTACTGACTGTTAAATCAACTAATATATTTAATAATAAAAAATAATAAAAGGGGTATTTAAGATTTACGGAATACAGATGATGCATCAACGATCAAACATTACTAAATTTGTGAATTTGATGTTTTTCTCTAAAAAAAAATCTATTTATAAAAATTAATTTTTAAATTTATATTAATAAAATAATAATATAAATTTATAATGTATATATAAAAAGAAAAGGTTGCTTGTATATACTGAAACACCTACTTAAAAAATTTGAAACTCAAGGTGATATCTTGGTGCGATCAAAAATATAAAGTATCTATGAAAATTAAATTGCATGTGATAAAATATTAAATAATTATTGATCAATCCGTAAACTTATCAACGAGAAAGAATTTATTAACATGTAAGAGAGATATGTCTTTTTTTGATTTAGCAAAAAGAATTTATTAACGTGTCTTTTTTTTGGTTTAGCAAAAAAAAAAAGTGATAATAAGAATTGAACTTTTTCTGTAAGCAAATTTGCATTTTATTACTTCGCTTATGAGTGTAAGAAAGAAGCATAAGAAAGAAGCGGGAAAATCAATTTATTATTGTTTCATAATGAGGTGAGGTAATGAGGTAATGAGGTAATGAAATTTTCATGCATTGTTTATTTCGTGATTATTATGTAAAAAAAATAGTTCATATGAAATAAAATAAAGATGAAACACTATATAATATATTACACTATATAACATTATATAACAATATGAAACAAGGGAAATATTATGTAATATTATTAAATAATAATAATAAAATCAAAAAATCAAAAAATGCGAATTACATAAGTATACAATTATGTTATATTATTATTATTACTATTATTATTATCATAATTATCGTTATTATTATTACTATTATTATTATTTTTATCATTATTATTACCACCATCGATCCTAAATCTATGTTTAAATTCTGATAAGAAAGATTTTTTTTCTTTAATATTATTTTTATATTTATCATTTCCTTCTTTAAATATTTTTCGTTTGGTATGTGATGATAAAGATGAATTTATTATTGGTGAATGTGATTGTGGATGTGATTGTGGATGAGGATGTGAATGTGAATATGAATGTGAATTTAAAGCTTCCTTTGATTCTTTCGGATAACAATAAATAATTAATTAATGATAATTAATGGTGATTAAGTTATAATATATAAAAATATAAAAGTTAATTAATTAATTTAATTACCATTATTTTTGGTAATGACTTCAACATCTACATTCCGATGAGATTTTCTTGATGATGACCTTGATAATTTTCTTGAAGGTTTCGTTGTTTTTGTTACGGGATGATAAGAAAAATCACCAATAATAGTTGAACCACCTAAATTTGATGATGATGGTGATGATCCAATATTCGTTTTCCGACCATCTGTTAAAAAAGAAATTGATGATGATACTAATTTTGATAATCTTGTTCGAGGAGATGATGATGATGATGGTGGTGATATTACGCGTTTACGTGATTTGGGTGATGATTTATCAACTAAATAGATATATAATTTAAATTATTAATATATTAATATATTTAATATATTATTATTATTATTATTATTAATTCAAGAAATAATCATATAAATAGATATAAATAAAAAATAAATATAAATAAATATAAATAAAATAAATAAAATAAATAAAAAATATGTGGAATATGTTAAATAAATAAAATGTAAAAATAAAATTTTATTAAAAAATAATTTACACAAAATTTGGTCAAAGGTTTATCACACACACGCACATATATATATATATATATATAGAAAGTATATCATATGTAATATTCTTTCTAAGAAATTTCTAAAATCCTTCCCATAGAAATAAAATAATGATAATAATTGTAATCCAATAATCCCAATAATCCCAATAATCCCAATAACCCCTATAATCCCAATAATCCCTATAATAACAATAATCCCTAAAATAATAATAATAATCCATAGAGTAAAAGTGATAATAATAATAATAATAATAATAATAATAATAATAATATAATCTTTCCATTCCTTTCTTAATGATTAATTTAAAACAAAAAATAAAATGCCAATTTATGAAATATTTTATTATACATAATGATAAATGACTTCATTACCTTCAACCCCACTTCTTTCACTTTTTTCAATACTTTCGTTTCTTTCAATGCTTTCATTTCTTTCAATGCTTTCATTTCTTTCACTGTTTTCATTTCTTTCACTGCTTTCATTTTTTTCATTGTTTTCATTTCTTTCCTTTCTTTCCCGATCAAATTTAGTTTTTTTACTAGGTAACGTTCTACTCCTTACTAATTTACCAGATCCACTACGATTTAATGCCGATGATGAATCTTTTATTGAAGGTTTTCTTTCAATTTCTGATTGTTGAACGTCAGAAAATGGATTGTCATTATAATCATCATCTTCTTCATACATAGAAGATCTAGATGGTGGATCAACTAAACTTGATCTTCTTTGTTTAATAGTATTATTATTATTATTATTATTATTATTGTCTTGTGGTTCCATTACAATAAATTTAGCTCCTCCAAAATGATTATTATTATTATTATTATTATTACCACCATCCCTATTATTATTAATACCTCGATAAGTAATTTCACTATTATTATTATTATTATTATTATTATTGTTATTATTATTATTATTATTTGCCAAATCATTTGGTGCATTAAATAAAAAATAACTTTGATAATCTATAAGAAATTCTACTACTTCTTGTGATAATTTATATTGATCAGGTGCCATGTCATGAGCGGGATGAGATAAAATTCCTGGTTGAAAAATTGATGCCAAATTTTTGGATGGCATTAAATTTTGTGTAGATTTAGCTGAAAAAACCGCAAGTAAATCGAGAAGGTAAAGAAATAAATGTTGATTTTCCTTAGGTAATTGATTAATTAATTTTTTATAATTTTCCACTCTACTGGTTTCATCTTGATAAGTGACTATAATAAATGATCATTTAAACAATCATAATAAATAATAAATAAAATTAATAAATAATAAATAAAATTAATAAATAATAAATAAAATAAATAAAATTAATTAATTAATTAAACAAAATTAATTAAATAAAAATTACCATGTACTTTTCGAAATGCTTCATACCAATGAAGTGGAATTACAGGATTTGGTAAATGATTTAAATATCTCCGTAATACGTTTGCCGCATCATGAACTGAATATCCCTCCCAGGTTAATGTCTTTCCATATAATGGAGGTGAATCAAAAATTGTTTGTAATTCCCTTATCCTTTTAGCCGACCCACTTAAACGAAATATTCCTTCCGATTGTGTTGCTATTATTTTTAAATATATATATATTTATTTATTATTTTATTATTATTATTGTTATATTTTATTATGATCATGATTATTGATTATATTTGATTATTTATTCTTTTTATTATCTTTGATTATAATAATAATAATAATTATTATTATTATTATTATTATATTTTGATCATATTCATATTCATATATATATGTATATGCTCTTATATAAACTGTATAAACTGAATAAACTGAATAAATTTGAATAAATTGAATGAACTATATAAAACTATATAAAAATATATAAACTATATAAAAATATATAAACTATATAAAAATATATAAACTATATAAAACTATATATATCAATAATAAAAACACAAAAAAAAAAGTAATAATAAACAAAATAAACATTTATAATTCACCTTTTTCTTTCAAAAACTTTCCACATTTAGCTACAATTGTCGGTATATATCCATATTCATTTTGAGTTCCGTCCGGTTCAGCCATGCATATAGGTACTTTGGCATATTCTAATCCTTCCGTGAGATTAACTCCAAATATTGCTCGATCCCCTAATATACAATGCATATTAATGAATAATGAAAGTTAGTAATTGATAATAATTATAATAATTGGTAATAATTCGATAATGTAATAATAAATGATTAATAATAATAAATTAAATAAAATAAAACGACGAATAGAAAATTTTTTTTTATATACCTCTATCTTTTTCATCCCTACTACCATTCTTGGCTGTGAATTGTCTCCACCAAGCTCTTAGATTAGCTTTGGTGGGTGCTGGTGATAGTTCAAGAGAGTTATGTGCCATAAATTTTTAAAAATAAATGGTGGTAAAAAAATATATATATAATAAATAAAATAAAAATTAAAAATAAAAGTGGAAGAATGTAAAGAGAAATATATATTTATTTTTATATAATTTTTATATATAAAGAGTGGAAATATTTTAAGATATAACGAAAGTATTTATTATTATAGATAGAAATTTGTGTATTTATATATATAAACATTTATTTGAGAAATAGATTTAATAAATTTTAAATAAATAAATAAATTAAAACTAAAATTAACTCGTGCTAATTTTAACTTAAGAATTTCAGAAATTATAATTTTAAATTTATTAAAATTGACAAGAGATTTCCTTAAAAAAAAAAAAAAAAAAGGTAGCCAATCGAATAATTACAAGGATTACAAGATAAATTTTGATCTAAGGAATAATTTTGTGTTTGATAATTTAGGTAATTACACAGAGTTATAAAATTAAAATGTATACCAAGAAAGATCACTTGCATTAAATAAAATTACTTTGAACTCCTTTTTTTTTTAAGTCCTTATAATCCTTTTTTAGTTTATTTCTCCAAGTTTTCAATTATTCAATTATTTTTTAGAAATTTTAACTTATTCGATTATTCAAGTATTTAATTATATATATATATATTTTTTTTTTAAAAAATAAAGTATTCAAGTAACATAGTTTTTAGCAATGGAAACTATAACTTCAAGATTTGAAGAGAATATAGGAGAAAATACTAACCGCTTTAGTGGAGAGGTTTGTTGTTATTATTCTTATTTTTTAATTAATTTTATCATTAGGTATACGAAATTTTAATATAATTTTATTTCTTTACCTCGAAAAAACTTAGTTTAATAAGGATCCCAAGAAAACTTTTAATGAAGATGAAGTTAAACATATTATTAAAGAGGTAATTAAAAAATTTTAATAATAATAATAATAATAATAATAAACTTGTTATCATTTATCATACATCATTATTATTATTATTATTATTATTTATTATTATTACTATTTCATTTATTTATTTCACAACATACTATCATTTCATTTATAAATATGTTTTTTTCATTTACATATTTTTCATTCATTTATTTATTTATTTATTATTTATCATTTATTTATTTATTATTTATTATTATTTTCATTTAACTATTTTCGCATTCAACATTTTAGGTGGTGGAAACCACCATATTACAAGATTCAGCGTATCTCCATAGTAGAGTATCAAACTGGAATGCAATTATTGTAGAACATGTGACAAAGAAATTGGCTGCATTAAGTAAATCTTTCAAATATATTGGTAAGTTCTATCTTTTTTTTTATTTATAGATTTTTAGATTTATAAATTTATTTTTGGATTTTATAGATTTTAGAATAATAGATATAGATTATAGATTTCATAGATATGATAGATATAATATTATTGTTTTTTATGTGGAATGTTGAATGTTTATAGAATTAAAAATTGATTTCTTTTTTTTTTTATTATTACAAATAAAATAATAGTCACTTGTACTATATTTGAAAAAAATGGAGCTGGTATTCATGCTACTACTACTTGTTATTGGGATAGTAAATATGATGGTAAATTATTATTTATTAATTTTATTTTATTAATTTTATTTTTGTTAATTTTATTTTATTAATTTCATTTTTGATTAATTTTCTTTATTAATATTAATCTAAATCTATTAAAATTTATTAATTTATTAATTTTTATTATTAATTTATTTATAATATAATTGATCAATATAATTAATAATATAATTAATAAAATATAATTAATAATATAATTAATCAATATAATAATTAATCAATATAATAATTAATATAATTAATCAATTAATATAATTATCAATATAATTAATCAATTAATATAAATTAATATAATTATCAATATAATTAATCAATTAATATAATTAATATAATTATTAATATAATTAATCAATTAATATAATTAATATAGGAAGCACCACTTACAGACATGATACCAATAGTATGTATGTTATAGTTAATGTTTGGGGATTATGTGTATAATAATATAAAAAGAAATATTTGATTTTGGAATTATTTGTATTTTTTTATATTTAATTATGATAAATTATTACATTTATAGCATATATCATATCCATGATAATATTGATTGATTTTGTTTTATTTTTTGCAAATATATTATTAATAATTTTAATAATTTTTAATGTTACTATTAAAATTTTTATTATTATTTGATAATTGATATGAGAACAAATCGATCACAATGTTTATAATATTACAAGATATGATATATATAGTAAAAAAATTATTGATTCTAAGAATTTATGATATGTTATTTACATGTTAAAAGAAAATAAATAAATAAAATAAATATGAATATCTAATGCGAATAAATAATAAATTAATAAATATAAATAAATAAATAATAATATAAATATAAATATAAATATAAATACGTATGTACATATTATTTATCTCTGTGATATACATTATAATACACGTTAACAAAATTAATGTGACCTATATGAAAAAACATATATTTAATTTATTTATTATTATTATTTATTGTTTAGGTTTTTTTTTTTTTTTTGTGGTGCATAACTTTTTGTTTTGTTATTATTTTTTTATCTTATAATTATTTTTATATTTGAAAAATCTTAATTAAATATGATATGAGATAATTGTGTGGAAGCGATAATGCGTGGGAGGAGGTGATATTTTTTTTATTTATTTATTCATCATATTTATGTTTGAAAATCCAAGAATTTCCTAATACTCCAGCACCTTGGGCAGCCGCCATTCGATAATATTTAGCAGCTTTCTTCATATCCTAAAATTAAATAAAATAAAATAAAATAAATATAAATATTATATTAAGAAAAATGTATATTAAATGTATATGTATATTAAGAAATATTACCTTTTTAATACCTTCACCGTGATAATAACAAAATGCCAAATCATTTTGTGCATCGGGATCACCTAAATTTGCTGCTATTTCAAAATAATATGCTGCATTTTGCTTTTTCTTGGGTACACCCCATCCGTGTCTGAAACATACACCTGATTAAGGAAATTAAAAGAAAAATCAAATTATTGGTTAAAAATCGTGTTACATTTGAGAAATATATAAAAAAAAAAAAATAATAATGATAAAATAAAATAATAAAATAAAATGAATAAAGAAATATAATAATAGAAAATAGTAATGAGGGAATGTAATAAATATAATAAATATCGAAAAACAATAAAAAATAATATAAATAAAACAAAACAAACGAAAAAAAGAAGAAAGAAAGAAAAAAAGAAACAAAGAAAAAGAACGAACGAAAAAAAGAAGAATGAATGAATGAATGAATGAATGAATAAATAAAGAAAGGATAAAATACCTAATTCATAAATTGCCAACACTAATTCATGACGAGCAATACTTGGATTTGCTGCCATCGATTCGTGAAGTTCGGAAACAGCTGATTCCGCAGCTTTCTGTAAACATCTTACAGCAAGTTTGGCATTTGGTTTACATCCCCAACCATGTCTTAATGCGATACCATATAAAAATAATCCAAGTGGACTATCTTTGTCAGCTGCTAATTTGAAATAATAAGTTGCTTTCTCTAATTCATTGGCTTCATGAAATTGTATAGCTTGCTGTATAAATTCGTCAGCTTCACTTTGTCGTTGAGCAATATTTAATTCTTTATCACGATTATTTTGATTATTACCGTGATAATCCTGATTACTACTATTACTACCACTATCACTCCTTAGTGATGATGCTGAATTAATGGTAAGATATTTATTATTATAATTCATCGTCGTTATCTGTTGAGTTGAATTATTATTACTATTGTTAACTGATAAATGATGACTATGACGATTATTATGATTATGAACGTTTGTATCTATTTGTAAAGTGCCAGCACTTTGGGATGGTTGATAATTAAAAGAAGTCAAAGAGGTACTTGAATCGTTCTTTAAACTTGGAAGCATAGAATGACGAGTAGCTCCTGTTGTTTGTTGATTATCACTATTCCACCATGAATCTCTTTTTTTTCTAGAAGATTCTTCTAACATACTAGAACTTGAATTTGATTTAGGTAATAATCCAAAATGTTGTTTGTTTTTATTTTTATTTTTGTTACTATTAGCAGTAGTAGGAGAAGGCGGAGAAGATAGAGAAGAGTTAGATGCAGAAGGAGAAGTAGAATTTGATAAAAAGAAACGTTTTAGTTTAAGCATTGTGCACGAAATGAAAAAAAAAATAATGGCTTTTTATATAAAAATTTTCTAGAAAAAGTATTTGATAAGTTTGAATGAAAACTGATAGTATATAGAGTAATAATAAATCAAATCGAGAATAATTATTGAGTATATAAACTTAATAATTATATTACGGATTAAGACAATGTAATAAAAAAAATGAAAAACCAAATTTAAAAAAAAAAAATAATAATGTTTGAAGTGGCAACGATAAAAGGTTCAAAGGTTATCATTATATATATAAATAAATTTATAAATATGTAACATATATAAGACAGATAAGGTTTATTACTGCCTAAGAGTTACAGAGTAATCACATATTACATATATTATTAAATATATTGCATACATTACTACATACTTTATATTCTATATATATATATATATATACACACACTATACATTACTTATTACCATCTTTTATATTTTTCATTTTATCACCTCACTAAGTTATACCAAAGAATCCGAAAATATATAATGTTCTTAATATAATATAATATTTATATACCAAATAACAATTATAAATAGAAAATGTAAAATAATAAACATAATTGGATAAGATAAAATATAAATATTAAATGTAACAAAAATAATAATTCCAAGTCTTGATATATTTATAGATTTTTCGGAATTTGGGATCGTGTGATCAATAACAGTTACAATGTAATTAATATAATCAAATAAAATTTAATATAATTAAATATAATTAAGTATAATTAAAATATAATCGAATGAGCAAATAGAACAAATGGTGATCCAATTTTGATCAAATGATTAAAAAAAAAAGAATATTAGGATTTTATTTTTAGTGACTATTACACTACTATTCAGCGCGAGGGCTAAGTTCCAAGATTTCAACTAATTTTGGAAAATTAATTTAGGAGATATGTAATCTAAGTAATTACTGAATAATATTAGTGATATGTAATTTTTGGTAATTAATCGATCTTTTCCTTTTTTGAAAAATTAAAGGTAACATCTATACATTATATCTACGGCAAGTGAACGAATGTATGTTTGTGTTTGTGTTAAACTTTCCATACACATAACAGAACAGATAGATAGGCATAAAATATTAACTGAAAGATTTCAGTTCAAAGGAAGTAGAAAAGAAATTCAGGTCAAATCTTTTTTTTTCCATTGGATAATTGAAATAACAAAAAAATTAACATACAGAAATAATTGACGTTTGAATAATTTAAAAAATTCATTCAATTTCATAACTCTATCTGCATTTGCATATTGTATATATTCATTACATTTTTACTAAATATAATTTTGATATCTTTGCTTTTCTAATAATAAAGAACCGCTAAAATTGATGATTTAATGATAAAAAAATAATAATAATAAAGGAGCAAGATCTTTAAAATCGAATTTGTTTAAGAGATTGATCTGCATGTGAACCAATAATGATTATTATTAAATTCGGGGAACATCTGATCATTAAAGTCACTTCATTTTGGACACCATTGTGCTCCTCATAATGTTCCCAACATATCATCTATTTGTAGTATTGGGTGAGCATCTTTTTTGGTTACACTATTAAACTTATATAGAATCTGAATTTTCTTTACTAGTACTATAACTATGTGATTTTTTTTATAATCAATAATTGTATTTATTCATCCTAGTTGATATACAGTGGTGTTCAAAAAAAATGACAATTTTTTAAAAAAATGATCAACAAGTGTAACTATTCCGATTTTGGCC